ACACACATCGCACTCACTTTGGAGTATGTAATAAGTCAGTTTTTCTTTTTCTTTGAATGTTTGGTGCTTTGACTTTGTTATGATACAATGCATTAGAGATAGAGAGACGCATTAGCATCAACAAGTACACACAAATGAATTGATAGGGAAAAAAACACAGAATTCTATAATTCAAATTGCAATAAATTAGTTAGATGGCGGAAAAATGAAGCTAGCGAGCAAGCGAGAGAGAGAGAGAGAGCGATAGAGACCATTTTGTGTTGAAAATTGAATGCAATGCTTTTGATCGAAGTCTCGTTTAGCGTTCGCTGGCCCAAGCCAGCTAAATTACATACTGACAGCATAAATGTGTGCGGAACGAACAAGCGGTCATAAAAAATGCATTACACTCAATATACATAATGGCATTATGCACATCGGTTTGAATGTTACATGAGCTCAAGACTTCATGATTTCCAGAAAGAAAAAAAAAATAATAACCATAGCCCAAACCCATCGAAGTCAAACGGCAAAATGTGATATGCCACCATAACACCAAGAGCACAATTTATCGAAAGGTTGTCGAGCTGTGTGGCTGTGTCTTTGCAGTTTCGTTTTGTACCAAAGTCATACATTTACCGCTTTCACATTTTGGCACACACGTGCATTTTGGGTGAACTATCAGTGAGTATTGTGTAATGTTCAAGCGATCTGTGCGAAAATCAAGCGGAAATTAACGTTGAAACGACACATGCACGAACGTTGTAATATAGCTGTTTTATTGTTAATGCACTCTCTCATCTCTTTGTAACGACCGCAATTACATTACTCTGCCCTGGCTAGTCTTCTTCTCTCTATCGCTCTCGCTCGGCTTCAGAATTGGTTCCAGTGTGCATGATGACAAAAAGGAAAACTCCAATTTGTACTTAGAATATTTGTTGTTGAACGATTTTTGCTGTCGACAACTCATCAACCATGTATTGGTGAGTGTGTGCGCGAGTGTTTGTTAGTTGAACACGGCAGTGTCATAGAGACGTTACAAGAAAATTGAAAATGAATCAAGAAAAACATGGAAAATTCGCCAGTTCGAACAATTCGCTTGTATTTTTGCTCGGCAACTCTCAACTCATACACGCTGCTGCTGCTGCTGTTGTTGTTGTTGTTGTTGCTGCTGCTGCTGCTATTCGCACAAAGTTTATTGACACGGCACAGAATGTGCTCGTTGTACGGCTCTCTTTTGTGTGTAGTTCGATCCGCGCTTTCTGTTATGTTTTTTTCTTCTTTCTGATTGCCAACTACACATACACATACAGAGCAAAAATGTCTATCTCTCTCTTCCCTTTGTATCTTATGCGCCTCTTTCTCTCTGACTCTCTCATACACATTCGCACTTATTTTTCAATATTTAAATTGGAATCGGTGCAAGCCACAAATCTCCGTAGAAAAACGTGGAAAAAAACAACGACCATACACACGGTGTACAGTATACACAATACACAGCAGCAGCAGCAGCAACACGGTCTGAAAATGGAGAAGAGAAGTAATCCAACTTTTCTTATGCTTCGTCGCTTCGTCGCTACATATATCCCGTACATTTGTACTTGCTGCATTTAAGAATGTTTCAATACACCGTTTGCTGCTGCTGCTGCTGCTGCTGCTTGGCGAATGAATGTTTCGCAATTAAATGGGCGCTAAACGTTTGGTCGAAACGATTATTATGTATCGTATTCCGTGGACTGTGTACATTTTTCTTCTTCTTCTTTTTATGTTCTCAATGACTTTTGAACATAGTTTGCACAAATTTTCTCGCCACACAATCGTCTTTTGTCTCAAAATACAACCGAAGAAACAACAACAAATGGAATGGATATGTGAGCGCAGGAAAAAAAAAAAGAAAACGTCACACATTCAAATCAAAGAGCTGAAAAAAAGAGCACGGCCGAAGTGATTCATTATTAATTTTATGTATGTGTCGTATGATCATCGGTTGCTTTGTTTTTCTTCCTCTGCTCTCTTCTCGCGCTGCTTTTCGCAAGAACCCGTTTTCTTGTGCGCCATAATGAATATCATAAAATGAAGCCGAATGTAACATATATAAACGATATGGAAAAAAAGCGACGACGACGACGATCAAGAAAACACGCACACATCAACAAACACACTTGGGCGTATTTATTTTTTGGAACATCATTAAAAAAAAGCAACGGCAACATGTACAAAAGAGCATAGGCTAGCGAAATAGATACAGAAGGATAAAAACAGGTATATAGATGTTCGTTATAATCCAGTTGATTATTTGAATTTGCACACCAGCGAAAACATCACAACCACACCACACCAATTCGTCAAATTTACGACGTTAACACACCAGTTATGCAAATCAGCGCACATAATTTGAACGATCACCAATTAAAACCACTCTTAGCGATAATTTAGCCGAAAAGTCAATTTTCTGATACAGATCTTTCGACAGATCGAGATAAATGGGCCATTATCAATATTATAACAAATAAATGAATCGAATCCACAAATTCGATGTGTGCCTTTGGAATGGAATATAAAACCAATTCACTTCACTGCATTTTGTTGTTGTTCGCCTGAGTCAGAATTCGGCATTGTGAACACACTCTCTCCCTCTCTCCCTCTCTCTCTCTCTCTCTCTCTCGCACACACTCACTCAAAATCCAACAATTTCTGCATTTTTTTCGTATTGCGAAACACCAGCAATTTTATGCAATTCGCTCTCATGAACACACAAGAAGTGTTGTGGTGGTTTATTTCTTTCTCGATCGTATCGTTGCTCTTTGATTTGGTGAACAGTGACCACATACAACTCGGAATTGCATTATAAAAACGGTTCGAACAACAGCAAAAAACGAACGGTCGAACTAGTTTTCCGTGTTTTAAACGATTCATTTTTTCTGTTCGTTGCACAAATTCTGTGGTAACATGATTCAATGTTGTCATTTTTTGAATCGAACGAGAAGAGAAAAAAAAAGGAATTTGAATCGAAATAAAAACTGTTTACTCACTTTTTCAAACAAAATTCTAATATTTCACCAGAAAATGAAATACGTGCTCTGTTTGGTTTTCATGTGTTCTAAAACCGAAAACGGCTCCAATTTCCAATTCACACGCTATTTTCGCACCGTTTATGGAAGAAAAAAAAACCTAAATGATCACAGAATTTGCATGTGTTTGCTTGCAAAAACAATATTATATAGTAATCACACTTCGTCGATCACTTTGAATCATGCACAATGTAAACAACACTCGTTCAGATTTTTTTTCCTCTAAAATGCAATAAACATTTATGTCGCTTTTTGTTGAGTCTGTGCACAGAAATTCTTAGAAATTTGATTTTTTTTTTCTTGCTTTTTTGCCGTATTCAAATGAGGCTTTGGCATAAAGATATAATCAAAACAAATTGCTCACTTTCGTTTGATTTCACATCAAAATTTTGTATTAATCCATCGACAAAACGCATCGATTCTTTGTTTTTTTTCTTCTGCTGATTATAAAATATACGACGATATATCGTATATACACATAGAAACGGAGCCCATTCGCTTGCAAACAAATAAACAAATGAAGTGTAAATGTCACTAAGAAGAGCTACACGATAAATTATATTCGAACACTCATACATAAACACTGAAATCAAACCAAGAAACCAAATAAAATGTACGTATATATATATATGTATCAATTCGCTAGTTGAAAGGTACGAAAAATTGCAAATTCGGCCGAATGTAGAGAAAACCAAAATAAAAAAAAAAACCTCTTGCTGTTACTGTTTTTATTCGTTCGTTTCGAAGCAAGCACGACGCGAATAGACGTCCGTGTTTGCAGACTATGAAATCACAATGGATGAACGATATTTGTTTTTCCTTCAATATTATCTCACCATGCTTAAACAAGTTTATTATTTCTCTCTCTCTTGATTCTCTTTCACCATCCCGCTTGGTCGCACGGCGGTACCGAATACTGTTTTTGCTTGACACATTCACTCTGAAGCCGCGTTTGTGTGTGTTGGGAGAGGCAGAGAGCAACAAAAATAAAAACAAGAGAGCGAATGACTGTTCGTTGCTTTGCCATACAAGTTTCGATGGTTATAACCAACTTCGTTGATCCGTTGCGATTTGATACAATCGAACGGTTTCCATGCAACTTGCTTGATTTGTTTGTGTTGTATTGTTTGAACTCTCGTACAATACATCGATAAATAATAATCCGTGTCTTTGACATTTCATGAATGCAACACAATATTCATTCGGTTTTCATATTTCAGTGGTTGGCACTTGTGCATGAGTTAAGAAAATGTAAACAATCTCACTTAAACTCTTTTGTAACACTTTTTTAAAATCATTTTTATGATTTTCCAGCATTATTTCGATTTGAATCGAAGATAAACATCGAAAAATGATGAATAAGCAATATTCATTTCCATTTTTTGACTCAAATTTATTGCACAGCAAATGTTAACGAAATGTCATCAAATATGGTGTACCTTCTTCAGTGTCGACCTCTGGTGGTGTTTCGTGGCACATGTGACTCTGTGTGACTTGAAATGTCAATGACATTTTTGCAATAACATTTGCACACACTACAATTTTTTTTTCAACAGATAAATAAATATCAGCGAATGCGGCGGAATCGAAGTTTATTATCAAATCTAAGGAAAAAATTGTGCTAACATCTCGTCCATTTACATGAAACCGAAGTCAAGCATCTTTTGGAAGGTTTTTTAAGAGCTGTCATAGAAAAATGTGTGTGTATGTGATTGTGGTGAGGCAAATTTATGTTGGGTCGATAATTTGCAATCAATGAGAATCGAATTGTGTGTATCTCATTCACAATTCAATTAACAATTCAACAGTAGCTGCAACAACAACAACAACAACAACAAAAGCCATCCATACTAAATAGCTGAATTGCGTTTTATGAGTATAAAAGGGTATTGAAAGTGAACTCGTCAACTGTGAATTAGTTTTAATTGTGTGAGCTCGTCTGGCTGATTTACTCGGAATCGGACGGTTGTTTTTATTTAAATGTTTGTTTTCAATTGTTATCTTCGGTAGGACAGCGTTTGTGTGTGTTTTTTTTTCTTGCTATAAATCAAATGACATCAGCATTAGTCTGACTGTAAAAAAAAATAGGCTTAACTCGGACCTGGATAAATTCCGCAATATATTGTGAAAAATGACGTCGCCGATGAGACCGAAAAATAAAAATGTCTTATTGAAAGTAGTCATATTAGGTACGTAACTGCGCAATATGTTATTCAAATTTCACCCGTTTTTCGCACAAATAATTAATTGGATTGCTTCATATTTGTCGTGGATATTATAGGTGATGGAGGTGTCGGTAAAAGCTGTCTTATGAATCGATTTATGTCAAATCAGTTCGATGAAAACAGCTTTCACACCATCGGCGTTGAGTTTCTGAGCAAGGACATCGACATTGATGGCGAGAAATACACACTTCAGTAAGTGCACTTTTTTTTGCCATTGCATTATGGTTTGGAATGACTGCAATTGGTTTGAAAATTTACATTTTAAGCTCGAGTTTTGAACATTTGGAGTATTTTTTTGTGGTTGAGATTGAAATATTATCGAAAGATAATAGAAATCCAATCATGTAAAAATTTGATCGTCATTAATTTTGTTCCGTTTTAGGTGCTGGGACACTGCAGGTCAGGAACGGTTCAAGGCACTTCGTACACCTTTCTATCGTGGTTCCGATATTTGTTTGTTAACTTATGCGGTGAACGATCGAGACAGCTTCAGAGGCCTAAAACATTGGCGAGAAGAGTTTATTAAATATGCAGACGTTGATGGTGATAACTTCCCATTCATTGTGGTGGGCAACAAAGTAAGAGAACTATACATTACGTTCAGACATAAGTTGTTCATCAGCGAGAAAAAAAAGTGGTGAAGTTGTGAAGTTGTGAAGTTGATTCGCGAGTGTTGAACAACCGCGGTTGTTCTTAAATAATTGTAACAAACAACAAAAACGTGCTTGAATTCTCAATCTTACAATGCTTACCAGCAAACCCATTTAAAAGCTGATAATTTCCATAATCGCATTTATTTTCCAAAATGGACAGATATGCATACTCTTATCATCGAATTGGTCGGAAATGTGGGGCAAATTAAATTAAATATTTTGAGAAATTATTCCAAAACTGATAAGAGAGATAGATTTGGGCCGCGTGCACTGTGCACGAGCGTACATCGCAAATAGCTACGCATTTTCGATTCGATGGAAGCAATTTAAACTATGACCATTCCAGACAGATTGCGTTGATTTTGTATACATGATTATCGTGAACGAGAGATAACACGGTTGTTTTCGAAGTAAATAGTGCCAGCTGCACGTACGATGTTCATAAACAATGAAGTCTAACCTCTAATAGACCGAGTCGCAAGTACAATTTGTTGGCTCTTTTGATTGCTTAACCGATCGATGTTTACATATTTCTTGGTTGTATAAATATGTGCGCTAACATGATTTACCTCATTTCCAATGAATCGATAATTTATTTAATGAGAATGACCTCTTTTTCTTCTACAAAACCAAGAAAACTTTAGTGTTACAATGAAATGAGAATGAATCTTTTACAATAGAACGAGAATGATACTTTTCACTTGTAAAAAACCGAAAAAAATGCTAATTGCCCCATTTTTATTTCTCTCTCTCTCTCTCTCTCACTCGCCAAAACAGAATGATGTGCCAACAAATGAACGGGAGATAACGTCTGAGGAGGTGCTAGCTTGGTGCCAAGAATTTCAAGTGGTCAGTTTCATCGAGACATCAGCGAAAACATCGGAAAATGTGTCAGCCGCATTCATATTGGCTGTACGAGAATGGAAAAAATTTGAACGAATCACAGATATGACTGACGGCGAAGATGCTATCGACCTAACTCGATCGGTTCATTTGAATGGACGGGGAAAATCATCATGCTGCACGGGAAATAGAATTTCACATTCACGACAAACTCACGAAGTACTCCAATAAACGAAACAAAAAAAACACACACACACATTTTGGCAATTGAATCATTAACTCGACATTCGATGTACTCACGTTGAAAGTCAATGTCAGCACGTTTTTAGTAAATACTTTATAAGTGCAACAAATGAAGCAAAAAAAGACACACACCACAACAACAATGTAAATGACAAACGAAAAGCAATGAAAGAAACATGTGAAACTGTGATTTCTACGAAGAAAAGAAAAAGATTATGTAATTGTTACCGTTATTATTTTATTTTGACGCGATTGGATGGCCTAGTTCATGATTGAGCTTGAGATTTCTATAGGTATTTTTTTTAAAACAAAATTGAAATTGTGAACAAATCTGAAAGCTGTTATTAAAAAATGGTTGCACATTCCAGTCAGAATCATTTGCACACTGATTCGTTGATTAGTAAAAATAGATTTGGAAGTTGAATAGATAATTTAAAAAAAAAAATGGATCTTGTATGTACTTGCCAATCAATTGAATTATCGACAATGAGGCTTTTGATACATTGTAAATAAAGCTGTAGCGAGTCAATTGATGAAGATGGATTTCGTTGACCAAAGTGTCAGTTTCTGTATCATTCCATGTGTTTAACAACTGATTCTGATGAATGTTTGCATATCACATTTGGCTCGAATACTTGTGGATAGATAAACATTCCTGTAATACCAAAGGTTTTAAACTTCTATGAAATTGATGTGATTGTTTCATCATTTTGTGTTATTTTCCTCAATTAAAACCAAATTTATACATATTTGCTTAGCGAAATTGTTTATTTCTCAAAACTGCACTTTGGATGGGAAAGAGAGAAAAGGAAAAAAAAAACAATGTTTCACATGAATTGTATTTATTTCTAATTTTATTTCTTGAGAATATATATGTCATGAATAAACTATATAAAGCAAAAAGTAATCACGCTAAATCTAATGAATTGCTACATCTATTTGTGTTTTTTTTTCTTGGTTTTAAGCTAAATAAAAGATAAAACATTGAATAAAGGTGATATAAAACAATTAGCAAACACATGGCGCTTCTTCTGGTCGCTGACCGGTAACAAGAGTCTGTTGATAGTCTCTGTAATTGTTGAATGTGAACTGGAGAAGTGATTCGATTTCAGGATCATTGCTGTATTGTGGCTGATTTGGATACGGTGCATATGCTACTGGTATAAGAGGTTGTTGCGCATAGCCTGATGTTCCATATGCGGATTGTTGTGGTGAGTATTCATAATTCGGCGCACTTTGCTGATAGTATGGGTGAACTTGAGCTGGGTGAACTTGAACTGGGTGAACTTGAGCTGGTTGAACTGGATTTGGATAATTCACAACGGGGTATGAAGACGCTCCACCAAGGCTATACAAGGTATTTGGTACATCTGGTCCGAAAGATGGATTGTAATATACGTCTTGGTACACTGGCTGAACCACTGGAACATAAGCATCTGCAATGAAATATTGATGGAAAATAATTAAATTGAATGATTCAAACTGATCAGATAGAAAAAAAATAAAACAGTTACAAACCATCACAAGGCGCATCTGCTGGATTTGCTGGTGCTGATGGATATGATGGAGCTATTGGAGCTACTGGAGCTTCTGGATATGCTGGTGCTGATGGAACTGGTAAATTTGGAACAGCGACACCAACCGTTGGCTCATCTTTTTCGTCGTCCAATGATTCGGGTTTTTCGCCCCACGATGAATCAATTTCAGTAACGACAGGCTCTGGATATACTGGTGCTGATGGAACTGGTAAATTTGGAACAGCGGCACCAACCGTTGGCTCATCTTTTTCGACGTCCAATGATTCGGGGTTTTCACTCCACGATGGATTAATTTCAGTAACGACGGGCTCTGGATATGCTGGTGCTGATGGAACTGGTAAATTTGGAACTGCGGCACCAACCGATGGCTCATCTTTTTCGTCATCCAATGATTCGGGTTTTTCGCCCCACGATGGATCAATTTCAGTAACGACGGGCTCTGTGTCATCATAGGCTTTGGTTGTTTCATCATTTGACGATTCACTCAGTGGATATTCGCTGGATCCTGTTATATAAGCCCATCCATTTTCTGGCTCATTGGTCTGACTGAGATAATCATCTGCATCCGTTGTTGTCCTTAAATCAGTCGATTCGTCCAATAATTCTACGATTTGGGTCGCTTGTTCATATCCTGCTTCTGTAGACGAACTTTCTGGCAAATCTGTTAGCGCAACCGTACCAAGATCTGACTCACTACTAACTGTACCATCCCACGAGTTTTCTGGGTGGTTTGTTTGACTGATGTAGCTGTCTGCTGTTTCTGTTGTCCTCGATTCTGTTGCGTCTGATAATTTTGCTGATGGTGAATCTGTTAATTCAAATTCGCTAAGACTCGACTCTGTGCTGACTGCATTATTCCATGAGTTTTCTGGTTCATTGGTTTGGCTGAGATAACTATCTGTTGTCGTTGGTTCCGTTGAATCTACAAATGCGATTGGTTGAGTTTCTGATGTGACTGCAGTTTTGGGTTCGATAGAGACGATCGATGTTGGTGA